GTGCATCGAATGTCCGTCATCAGGATTGATCATTTTTGGCAGTTTTAATAATTTCCAGTCATTCAAAACCAACTAATCAAAACTCACATGGTGCCGGGAATAGACCCAAAGCTGACTTGGGACCGGACGAGTTGACAGAATGGCAGGGACTAAGTTTAAATCACAACATGTGTAATAATTTGGCCGAATGTTAAATGCCCTGAATATCTGTAATACTTAAAAAAAGTTAGGAGTCACCATTATTAGTATATACCTTAAAATGCGCTTGTTTGAGGTTCCCGTAGAATTAAAGCCATGATTTGATTGAGGCCAATACAAACCATATAACCATTCCTTAAAGCCCCATTAACAATGAGCACAAACAACCCTTTTCATGAATAACTCAATTCAACTTAGTTCCGCTTATGAAATTTATGTAAATCTGTTGGAAATTGAAATATGCAGATGCTCACTTCGAAAATTAGGACAAAGGCCAAGCCCGTTCGACCAACGAAATGTATTAAAATGTATTTCGCATTTTATTAAATTTGCCAACATGATAAATTCTTTGGTGACTCGGCACTGTCATGCTCACAGGCGACCCAACTTAAATGAAGTAATAAGTTTTATACGCCTTGACCTCAAGGGTTCATTCCTCACACACATACACCCCCACTTTTAGCAAAGATACAAAGCTGAATATGTATTGACACACTCCTGGCAGACTTTTGCCTTTTGCGGTCCAAAGGTCTGGAGCGTGTGAAAAGCAGACAAGCAGATTTTCTTATTAAAATTATACAGATCTTACGGTCTGAAGTGGGGAAGGCATTTAGGGTTAATTTCGGCACCAGTCCCAAACCGACACAAGTCACAAAAGTTAATGTGATTAATGTTTACTTAATGAAATGAAGTTATCAAGTTGATTTTATCAATTTACACACAGGCGTCGCCACAGACAAAAACCCAAAATTCTCGAGGGCCTGTCAAAACTGGCGCCGGTGTGATGAAGGTGCTCCTCCATGTTTAGGATTAGGTGAGAGTCGTTCTCGCTTTTGATGAAAAAGTAAAGGGAAGGGAGCTTACTCTATGCACTGAAAATAAGTGTAAGAAAGATCCGATTTTTCTAATAAAAATATGTAAATTAGGTTGATTATCAGGCTTGTCAATCAATACAATCACATCTAATTTAAATATTTACCAAAAAAATCATTTAATTATACCATTTTTTTGTCAAATATTTGATTTTTCCCTGTGGTAGTTTTCGTTGAAGTTCAACTTTGCTGCTCAGAAAGGGATATTAGTGAAATGTGGTTGACAACCGACTGCTCTAGTGTTAGCCAGGCAAATATTTGGAACAGTCTGTGGAAGATCTTAGCTTTCGGATGGGTAAAGTTGGATGTGGCAATCAGTGGACGTGGCAAAGGGAATTCCGTGGCAACAAGTTCAATTAAATCCCAGTCTCTGTCGAATTTGCGTCTTTCGTTAATCAATGCGTTTAACGTTTTCAATCAAGCAACTGGCAAAAAGGCAAACGCAGGCGAATGATTAAAGGGGATCGGCAAGTGGAGGGGAAAGTCAGTCAGTCAGAGAGACAGCTCAAATTCAGTTAAGCATTTCACTTATTTGCATATAAATTGATTAAAAAGAAAATACACGCCAGACACTCGCACACAGTCACAGAGTTTTGAGTGTGTCAACATCGCAAAATGGCAAAAAGGACGAAAGGGTCCTGGTCTTCTTCTCGCCGCTTTCGCCCTGTCGCCGTCTCTTTCGCATATCAGGCCGTCTCCCTCTCTCATCTGGGGCTCTTCCTCTTTGGCAATTTCTGACACTTCAAATGCGTATGATTGTTTTCCTTTTGATCAGCGAATTGTGAAGTGATTCACTGATTGAGTTCAGGCTCAGATGATGCGTTGACAACATCAATGCACACACTCTCTCGTTGAAGCCCCGCCCACTTTCCACTGCCCCTTTCGCACACCCACACGCTCAGACGGACGGTCAGTCAGCTGGGGAAATGTGTGGAAAAGGTGGAAAACCTTTGGGTCATTTCCACTGGCCACTCGCTTGCCTTCTTTCCTGCTGAAAAGCTTTCTTAGGAGCACGGACAGGGAAAAGTTGTTACCTTTAGGAAAAGCTTATCAAAAATAGATTTCTACTTGCGAAAATAAATTTGTTGTGTTAATGAAAAACTTAAACACTTTTCTTATTTTTAAGGCTACACGATAATTTCTTGATTCAATTTCACTGTTTGTATAAGGTATGTTATTTTTCTTGTGGTTTCTTTGACTAAAACGGGACAAGTTCAAAGACTTGATATGAGTCACCTTGTCCCATTCAATTTTGCAGTGTGTTGTGGTACACCCCAAGCTGTTGCCTAGTTCCACATACTTTTGGGGAATTTATTATTTTAGTTACTAAGGTTCGCGGGCTGAATTTAGTTGAGTTCCAATTCGTTAGGCGGCATGTTCATGAGGGAGATTCGCACGAAGGGCTGGAGCCTCAAGGTCATTATAAATAAATCAATTATCAAACAACAACGTTGACTTTACTCTGCTCACCATGCTAAGTGTGCTAAGTGCTGGTTTGAAGGGTTTATTCGAGTGCTTATTACGCATACGCAGTGTTAGCCGCCGGCAGTGATTCATTGGGGCTGATTATTGGGGCGCGCTAGACAAACACGCTGGTCGAAGTGAAAATATTGTGCTGTCATGTTTGCCTGGCTTATTTCCCTGAATGGTTGTATGACATGGCAGTGCCCCTAGGGGGCGAATGCATATTACATGATCCTTGGAACACGTGTACCGACTAAACTAAGTCCAATTGCAACTTAGTTCAAGGCGATTCCTCAAATTACGTGTCTTGCACATCGGAAAATGAGGTGTACTACAGAAAATGTAACAAAAACAAACGTCACCGCAAAAAAATGAAAAAGACCTCGAACTACTAAATTATGGTCCTAAATTATTTATGTGTGGTGCATTAGACTTTAAATATTAACAGCTAACAAAATATTATAAAATGTTATAAAATATAAAGTTAAATAAATTTTAAATTTTGGAAAATCATAGCCCAACGGCAAACTTAATATTTTCCGTTTTAACTTAACTGTTAGAAGGCCAGTAATCGAAACCAATGCTTGTTTAACATTGACCTTTCTGTTTTGGTTGCCCTGCAACTCCAGTTGAATCAAACCAAATAAATGACAACTCGTGGACACTTTGAATTGCATACTTTCAGATGCTTTCGTTTTTTTTTTAGATCAATTGTACAGGCCACATTCGCTGCGTTTGAATATTTGTTTTCTGTCCGCTCGTGTTGGCTGAAAGTAAACATTTGGCCAGGCCAGTCACGAAATTGTTGTGTTGGTACTAGCCACTTTTTAATTGAAATAAAATGTTTAGAAGGCCAGATATATCCACTACCAGTGTTGGCCATTTTTAGCCAAAATAAGAATATACCGATAAACGATGCACTCCAGACGTTGATCATATATAAGCAAATATAATCCAACTAAATTTTTATCAATATTTATAGATAATTTCATTTTATCATAAGTATGCATATAATAGCCATACATGTCAATTTATTGAAATATATTGTATTTGTCAATTTAATTATGTTTTTAATATATTTCTCATTTGTTATTTGGAAATAAAGCTGCCATCACTGGCAAAAGCGAGCGAGTTATTAGGCGGATGAGTCAGGTGAGCTGGCAATGCAGTGGGGTTTCTGTCTGGGGCGAACTGTCTGCTCTACATGAGCGTAAACGCTTTTTAGTAACTAGTTTTCCCCCGCCACAAAAGCCGGCAAAGCTCATATTTCATTTCCACTCGTTCCACTGTGCTCCCCATCTCAGCGCCTCTCGCTCTGGCTCCCCATCTCCGTATCTGGCCATCTCGTTTCTCACGAGCGACTGGCTGTTTATTCACTGCCGTCACTTTATTTTTCGCTTTCAGTTTGCATTTCAAAGCCGCCAAAGTAACAAGTATCTTGCAGTTATCCATTCAGTTGGGCGCCTATAAAAAACAAGCCTCCATCAAATTTAGTATAAAACTAGTGAAAAGGTCTATTCACGAATAAAAAACATGGAGGTATGTTGGGCCTAGCTTGTTTATTCTAGCATTTGTTTTCTATTTGTGGGGCTAAACTTTTGGTCGGCGACCTTCACCTTGGGGTTCAATCTGTGAAAGTGCGCAAGGGCTTTCTGCGAAATTAAAAATCTACCCCACTTTCGTTACCCCTCTTCAGCTGATTATTTACTTCCCTTGCCGAGTGACGAAATTCACTTAATTGAAGGTAAGCCGCTTTAAAAGTGTGACGAAATATTTGCAGAGCGTCTTGAGAAAAGTCAGCTGAAGCGAAGCGAATGATTCACTGCGGTTCAAGGGATCTTTTGTTTTTATATTGTTTTTGTTTGCGCAGTAGCTTTAATTACTTGATGATCCATAAATGGATATTTTTGTTAGTCACTTTTAAAACATTTTCGCTTTAATTACATTACTGGAATAGCCATAAGAGATGTGCAAAAATAATTAGATGGAATGGTTTTGATTTACTCAAATTTATTTGCCTTGGTTGAGATAAAAACACACACTGAAATAATTCAGTGAATTCGCAGCAAGTCAAAGAATCAAAGATAAAGTCAACGGGGGTTTGGACAACTATATTTATTTCTATCGTAAAAATACTGAATATTTTTCACCGAAAAATCACCAAATAAACATTTAAAAAATCTGATATTTTCAATCGGGGTTTTCTCCATAACTGGGCTAAAAAAGGTGGTACAGCTAAAATGAAGCCTGTTTTGTACAGCCTATGAGCATAGCTAACTATCCCTATCACAATTTTTATTATTTTTGAAAAGTCGAATTTGAACAAATTTTCGCATTTTTTATAAGGGGTACCATCATCAAAATTTGCGAAAAATGGCAAAAAATTATAATTTTCTGGTTTAAATACAGGTCGATAGGGAATTTTGTTACGAATTGAACGGGGTATGACATTCTATGTTTGGACAACTATGATTATTTCTATCGTAAAAATAGTGATTATTTTCAAAGATAATATAAATACTAACAGAAAAGCTATCTTTTGCATTTTAGTATAAGATATTCATAATTGGTTTTCCATCCAGTATCGCTGCTTTTTACTTTTATAAAGGTTTTACAAGCCACCTATTAGCCATGGTTAATTTTTCGTAATTATACGCCTACATTAAAAGTAAAAGAAAAGAGTATTCAATGCCACAGGTGTTCAATTTTCCTGGAATCGAAATCAATCGATAAACATTTTGTGAAAGTAGGCATTCTGAAAACTTTCTGAGACCTATAAATTTAAAATTAAGCTAAAAGTGTACGTACATATAAATTCTAAAAATGCCTAAATCAAAGTCCCCTAATGGCGACCTCTACACCCTGGAGGCCAACCTGGCGAGTCAAGCACTCCGTGAACTGACAGATGGCGAGGACAAGGATCCCATGACCAAGCTGCGATTGCTGTGCCTCAGTCGTGGAGCAACAGGCATTCTGGGGCTGGGCAGGTATGATTGGTTTATTGCATTCTAACGATATTTCAATCGGACTCGCGCTGAATTTGCCATAGTAACAGTTTAACTTTCAATTATTCATGACAGGGCCTTCCGGGCGATGGACGACGATGGTAGCAAGGCTCTAAACGAAGCGGAGTTTATCACCGGCATTAGGGACACCGGATTGGATGTATCGGAGGAGGAGATCATGCAGATGTTCGCCAAGTGAGTGATAGCAGTTCGATTAACAATAGGAGATACAGAAGTATTAAATTTTCCCTTTTAGATTCGATGAGGATGGCAGCGGATCGATAAACATGACCGAGTTCCTGCTTAAACTAAGGGTAAGATGCAGAGACATGACTTATATACAAGGGATACAATTCATTCGACATGTATTCATATTGCATTCATAAATTAATTACATAATAAATACACCTTCTCCACATTTTTAGCCCCCAATGCCGCAGAGTCGTTTGAATATTATTGACCAGGCCTTCAACAAAATGGATCGCGATGAAGATGGTGTAATTACCATTCAAGATCTTAAGAATGTGTACTCCGTAAAAGAGCATCCCAAGTATCAGAGCGGAGAAAAGTCTGAGGACGAAATTCTTACCGATTTCTTGCACAACTTTGAGGGAGGTCGAGGTAATTTGGATGGAAAGGTGAGTCATGAGGTTACTTACCGCCTATAAACAATTTAAAACTATCATGTGCCACAGATAACCCACGAGGAGTTTGTCAACTATTACGCCACCATTAGTGCCTCAATCGACAACGATATGTATTTCGATCTGATGATGCGACGAGCCTACGTCATGTAAAAAATGCACAAATCTCACTAAAACTCCAGCACTCGACTGTAATCCCATTTACTTTACTTGCCTAGAATTTAGTCCTGCTCATGCCCTATTTTTACAACATTGAGAAAATAAATAAAACGTCTGGTTGCAATTAAATAAATCTCAATGTAAACTCCATATGGGCAAAGTTCAAATTGCAAAGAAATGAAGTATATCTGCTCATAATTTGAATTTGAAATACTTGACGGAGTTTCGGGATTCAATGGATTTAAGGTTTCCAGAACTTAACATTCGTTAGCTGTGAGCATGTGAAGTGTTTGTCAAATATGCAGAATAACAAGTTACAAGTTTTCTCTAAACATTTGTTCGTAGTTTACTTGGATTTAAAGCCCGACTGGTTGGATACACGGAGAAATATGAATGGAGCATGTTCTTATTACAGAATATACCAGTGTTGAAGATCGATATGAAAATAGAAAGAACTACTATATTGTGCAACAATAGTCTAAATTTAAACCACCTGTTATTGGAACTAAGCTCATTTGGCAATAGGGTCTGTTATGTTAGTTGTATAATTTTTTTTAGTGTCTCGACGCATGCCTATGTGTGGGCGTGGTTTATAATCAAAGCAGAGCGCCGAAGACGGCAATCACAGCCCCGAACAGGGAACCAAGCCCAAAATGCTTGCCAGACTCGGCAAATTGTTTGAAATTGTCAGCAGCAGCGAACCTATGTCTTCTGCATCGGTGTTTGGGTGTATGGGTGATGGTCGGTGATGGTGGGTGTTTGTGCGACTGGGTGTGCGTGTGTGTGTGTGTGTGTGTGTCTGTTGGTGTGCGCTGACTGGTTGGCATTTATCACACAGCCAGGACCGGCAGCCTAAATGTATGCTTTAAATTATGCAGACACCAGCTGAGTTTGTCGCCACATGCAAGTGTGTGCGGGCATCCGTGTGGGTGTTTCTGCGAGTGTATTTGTTTGTGCGTGGCAAGTTTGGGCACTGATTGCAAGCAACTCATACAAAATTTTAATTGCCAATGTTAAAATTACGCACTGGTACAAAGAACGAGAGAGAGTCAGACTTCCGCAGAAGATGTGTGAGAAAACCCAGGGAAAATAGACTTGACTAACAAGCCGTGCACAGAGAAATATAAAGTTTCAGTTTTAAATAGTAGTTTTAAATTTGTGGTAAATTGGTAAACAAATTGGGAAAAAGTTAAGCAAACTATTTTGTTATTAAAGATTTATAGGTGTTTTTAAAAACAGCATTATAGCCCCAATGTAATTTTCACTCGGCAATATTTAATGTTTTTTATAGGAAAATGTGACTAAATATGACTAGTGTTCAATATTGAATAAAAAGTTTTTGATCAATTATTACTCAAAAGCTTAAACGCATTTTCGAGCAGTGCATATGCAATTGTGCAGTACTATCTGGGTTTCTGCTGTGTGTAAATCACACACTCACAACTTTATCGTATCATTTCATTAAATTTTATTTACAGCCTGGCAACTGTCGTTGGGTAGCTCCTCCTATTTGGTAAGTTTTTGGGCAACGACAATTGAGAATTTGTGGCAGTTTTCAGTTGCCAGAAACTTCCTGTTGAAACCCCAAATGGCTCAGCTAATCAAACAATTTTCAATTGCTATTTTCTTTACGCTTGTTGTTGGGTTCACTATCACCAGAATTCATTGCCATTTGAATTTCTTGATAGTCCAAAGACTTGATATGTTCGATTTGTTGGCTTTCGGTGGAAATATATATTCAACTGTTTTCTTTAGAGTAGAATTAAAAGAAATCACAATAGCTTTAAATACTCAAATATACTTTTTCTTTATTTAAAAAAATATTTTAATTCATATTTCGTTGTTATTCATATTATAACGCCAAGAACTTGACCGAAACTGGTAGACTCCCATGGTCATTCCAATGTCGTACTTCACAACAACAGCGACTAATGCATTATTTAAATCTAGTTAGCACTTGGCCATTTGCCGTTGATTGAAAAGGACGAAGGCAAAAGGTGAAAGGACAACACTGACCGGCAAAGAGGGGATCGCACAAATGGAAGAGCAGCACATACAAATAATAATAATAAAAGGCAGCCGCAGGCCAACAGTCCTTGGGACATCATTGACGGAGTATTGAATACATTTCATTGCATTCGGAATACGGGATGGTAAGGAGACAGGAGAATCAAGAACGGAGAAAGGATAATGGAGCAGGAGTGAGCCAGCAGAATGGTAAATGGCGAGAGTGTATCCTTCTGCGGTAGGCATCGAAGTGACGAAACTGCAAAATATTTCAGTCACGTTTTAAATGTAAAAATCTCAATCACGTGCTCGAAATGCGCGCATTCACAATATGCACAAGCAACGAGTACAACCAACAAATAAAAGAAGAAGCCGACTGCCGCACTGAAAAAAAATCTAAACCTTAAATTAAAAGATTTTTTTGATTTGTTTCACATAACAGAAAATAAGTTATATTCCTTTTACCATTTAATAGTTTTGAACATAAGATGTATGCCTACGTTAAGTGATAGGTTTTTCTCTCTATGTCGTCGGGCGAAACATGAAAATCCCGGGCTCTTGGCCAACTGCAAATCGAAAGGAAGCCGTAGCTCGAAATGCGCCAAAAGCCCTTAACAGGTACTTGTTGTATCGATGATTTAATGTCGCCATTGGCGGGATTGCAGGCCAGCTGAGATGGGCTTCGGCGGTTGGATCTAATGATGTTATTGTTGCTGCTGCACCTGCATCATTTGTGGCCGCTCAAATTGCATAATGTATGCAAAAAGCTTAACTAACTGTGCGCATCGCTGATTGAAATATTGAAATCAAGTGGCATTTACAGTTGCCCAAGCACAAGCAGCGAATCCAATACGTAGTACGTATACGTATGTAATATGTGGACACGGATGTGTTTACCTGCGGACAGCACACAATTCGCAGCAATTTCCGTTTCCTTTTCACGCCGCTCGTATGATTTTCACACCGCTCTCGCTTGATTGATTGAAACATTCGCTGATCAACACCAGATGGAAATGCCCTTTCTGGTAAACATAGTTAACATTTCCTTGTTCAGTTTTCATGTAAAATAACATTTTTATTTTAAACCTAAATATACAAGTACATTTAAATGAAATTTAATATGTATATTTATATTTTAAAGGGTATTTATGATTTTTTTATTAGGTGACTTGAATTTTCAAGCTTCTTGACATGTTGTTAAAACTTTTTTTTGCTGCTAGTTGTTGGCTATTTAACCCATAATTTTTTTTAAATACAAAAAAGCGCCCTTGGTAATTTTTTCGAAGGGGGAGAGGGCACTGTGATATAACGCTCGTTTAATTGGAGGCCATTGATACTCCAAAAGAGCTCTTGGGAATATTTAACTTAATTCGCCAATGATTGATTGTTATACGAATGTTTGTGAATCTCATGGTAATAACGATTTATTATTTGCAATTAATAAAAAACTACTTCCTAGTCTTTAAATATATGTAAAAATATACAATATTTAATGTAAAGTGAAGAGAGGTCCATTAAAAGAATGTAGTTTCGATTAGATCTGCATACTTATGAAGCAATAAAAAAATAAAATGAATGGAAATGTCGGTTGCTGTTTGTTGTGTAAACCAAACAATACATTCTGATAATGCAAAGTACATGTGAAATATTTAGATTTTTTGCCACTTATTGCCACGAAACTGAAATGAATTGATACTATCAAAACAAAAATATATTACGTTAAGTGGAACTTTTTTTTGAGAAGGTAGAGCACAAATTTCATTGTGTTTTATGCAATTAAGTGCTAGGCTTCAGGTTCAATCACCTTGTTTATAAACTGACGAATTGAGAGGTTTTCAGTTGCGGTTCTCCACTCAATAAATTTTCATTGGCAGCAACTAATATCCAGGGGTCGTGTCAAAAAGCATTTTGTTGGGGGACATGGCTAACAAGCAAATGGCGAACGCTAATTTTAGCCATGGTCCGGCATCAGCACTTTCGAATTTGGTTTAGCGAAATCCAATTGTTTGCATTTATGGCGGCCCGGCTGAAATGAACATGCAAATGACCGTTTTATTACGGACATTTTATTATTGTCCCAAAAAGTTCCATTAAAAACATCAGTTCGCTTTCGGTATTCGAATGTGCGTAAGTCCCGTTGCGGCTTTGTGCCCAGGCATTTAAAAAGCCAAAATATATATATTTTGCGAACATGACAGCGGCAACAAAAAATCAATTTGTAAATGTTTTTAGAGTGCAGGCTGGACGGAAATGGGGGAAACTTTGACATTCCGCACAACTTTGGCAGCTGCCGTTGTTGCCGTGGCAATTGCTGTTGCATATTTTCCGATATGGCCGGAAAATGAAACGAAACACGATGCAATGCAATGCGTTTCGACGCACGGAAAAGCTGCCAAGTGACCCCATTGGCAGCTGCAATGCCCGTTTTGTAATTAGCGCTCGATTCGACGACTCCGAGGGGAGTTTCCTGACCTCAATTACTTTGTCACCATTTCAATTTGCAATTTCAGCTATTAACTAGTTACACTCGATGCAATTAAACTTGCACTTTTCCAGGTGCCTTGCAGCCAGAAGAAAAGCGAACCCTTTCCCGAACCGCTGACGGCGGTTTCCCCATCCACAAAATGCTGTTTCCTAGTGAAAGTTCCACATACATACATATACAAATACAAATACATATACATATATATGGCGTAAACAGCCAGCGAATCGCACAGATACGAATACAAAACTCTTCACCGTCCAGCTGCATGTGCGTTCCATTGGAATAATTTGAAATTGGAAAAAAGAGATTCTCCTCTTTTTACCATCTTCTCGTCGAGTTAATTGCAAATTGGATGAAATTGTAATTTTACACTTCATTTGATTCAATTCATGGCTGATTGACAATTTAGTTTTTCATTAAGGTAACTGTATAAAAATTCATAACAACACTGTCACATAGAATGTTTGCTTTAGTAATCATGCAATTTTTAAGGCAAACATTTTTACAACTTTTTAAATAAAAAAAAAAAATCTATGAAAAGTAATATTTTATACAATTTTTCAACATATTATTAATATCAAAATATTGATAATATCAGGCCATTCGAGGTAATTTCGCTCACTACACTGTACCGCAGTCAGCGAGAAGCTTT